TCCAGGCAAACGGTGGATATACCCGATATTGACTTTTCGATGTGTGGGTCATGATTGACATTTTGTAATGTGATTTGACAATTCAATAACGTTTTTGAGCTTTCACTGACACTACTTATTAAAGATAATTTTAAGCGTGAAAACTGTCCATATTTTGATGTCATGATATGTAAATTAAAAATTGTTATTTTACGGTGATAATCTTGTTTTCTTGTGCCCAATAATGCATAATTTCATTTGATAAACACGTTTAGATTGAATGGTAATATATAATCAGTTACAAGAACGTCGAATCTGAATCACTTGAAAAAAACACGGGGGTGCTTAACTTTTTTCCAGGTGTATAGTTTGGGAGCAGCTGCAGCACAATGCATCTGTGTTACTTTCCTTAGCTAGACTTTTATTTTAATGCTTTTAACCTTTCATGACCCTTCAAAGGTGCAGTGACCTTCTTATGTAAAATTATAAAGGACATGATCATGAAATTGACCTTAAATTATCTCAGTGGTATTATCACAGGATAAGCTTACAATGCCTCATTCCTTACCACTAACATATATTTATTTTTCTATATCTCTATTTCTGAATTAGTTGCCTCTCAGTGGACTTGGACTTATTTTTTTTATCATTGTGATATACATACATGTGATTTAGATATATATAAGTCAAAACCTTAAAAAAATATATTATTAATAAAATCAGTTCCACAGAACGGTGATGATTACATAAATATATCAAACAGCATGCCACAGGGATTGGTTGAGTGATACTGCATAACATCAAACTACCCTGGTAGGTAATATCATTTTACTTATTATCGAAAGCAATAATTTATATGCATTACTGAGCTAAGAAAAACAAATTTTATGTAAATGGGCGAGTTTCATTTTATTCAGCTTGCATTTTCCAAATAAGTTGTAATTTTTAAGATCTCAAAGGAAGCTGTTTGAATGTTTTTATATGGTACCATGGAATAATTTTATATAATATTAATTAGATCTATCTGTACAATTACTTGGTATCAAAATTTACTATCAGACACCCACAACTAGTAATGGACATAAAATAATAAGAATGACTTGGTACGTTGAAGGTCCCACCTCTTTGCCAAATCCAGGGTTATATCTATTGCAACTTTCTGCAAGTGTCTTAATTCTGATCATTATTTTGTATTCCTAGAGAGAGAGAGAAAGAAAAACATAAATCATATGAAGGAACTTTTACTTTAAATGTGAAAAAAAGAAATACATATATTTCATATACATGTCAAGATTATGTAAAAAGTACACTACAGTGAGAAAAATTTAATTAACATAAGATGATTGTCTGATTTAATTTACTGTAGTGTAATGTTTTTATTACATTTAATTCTAATATTTACAAGTTCAAAATCTTGTAATTTAATTTTTTCAGACAAAGTAAAGGAATGTTAATAGCATATGTTTTAGTGCTGTGATTTTTAAGATGAGTTGTATTTCAAAATGAATATTGCATAGTTTAAATTATTTTAGCAAAAAAATGTGCAAGCAACTGAGTAATCTGTCACTCATATACCAAACATTAACACTTTGCAGAGATATTTTCCTCTTATTAGTTATACCAGTAGCTTAGTATTTTGTAACTCTGGTATTAAATGTTTTATTTTTTGTAAAGAAGAGTGTCATTTAAACCACTGGCATGTTTTGATTATCTTAAAGATAGTTTCTTAATTAGAATGTTGGCTTCATTTGTTTGAGAACAGTATCACCTACTATTTATTTTGACACAATAAAACATTAGTGTCAGGTTTCTAAAAGTTGAACAACACAACCCACTGCTCCAAAGTAGCCCTGAAAAAGAAAAAAAAACGAGACTTAATTTTTCACTAACATGTTGATCACTAAATCATGAAGCTAGTGTATCACTTCTCATACAACTTTTAGGTAAAACACAAAAATTCAGTTCCCTACATTTATCAGAATCAGATCTTAAAAAATGTGAAAAACATTGGTGTTATTATTAAATTGTATTCATCCCGCGCACAGAATCAGCTTGTCCTGTGACTAGTTTGAAACTGATACTGCACTTGAAGCAGACTAAATTTTTGAAATCTATCTTTTGATAACACATATGGAAATTGATATCCATTCAGTGCTGTAGCTATTGTACTTTGTGTTGCATAAGATGCCCTGGTTTGTTGAACGTTTGTATTATAAGAACAGTTATTCCAACAAATGGTGTTTTTTTTTACTTTAGGTTTTCATTTCTCTCTTGTGATAGTAATAGCACATTTTTCTTAAAAAGTTATTATTTTAAAACATGGAAACAAAAATAAATTGTATGCACCATACATAGAATCTCTTACTACTAGTATTATACTTGTTAAACTTCCCAAATACAGTACTCATAATAAAGTTACATCTGCCTTTTCCAAAAATTCAGCCCTCTGTTTAAGTTAGTGTCATTTCATTCTGGAACTAGCATTGAGTTTCAAGACAAACAAGTCTGATCACAACTGTTAAAGCTGCCATCTGCATTTTTTTCAAAGCTCTATCCTATATATATATAGATTTCCAGGTTTAAATAAAGTTTATTTTCTATGTTATTGTATTTCAGTTATTTAAAATTAAGGAAGTTTTCTAGAAAGATCCTTCCTCACTTATGTTGTAACTAAGCTAAGATTAATGGGGCAGTTTGAGTTGTTCATTTACAAAATACAAAACAAAACAACATGACCATTATGCTATAACATTTAAGCTGTTACTAAACTATTAACTAGTTATGGATCAATAAATTCTGAGATTAACATACGTGATAAAATCACATTTGACAATAGATTTTTCTTTCTTCACATTCTTTTAGCATTTACGAATCTCTAGTCAAAGACAAGTACACACAAATGAACATTTCAGATATGTTTGGCTGCTATCAATCCAGTTCAGTTCATGAGTTTTGGTATTGAGGAAAGGCCTCTTAGGCTGCGATTTGTGGGAGACAAGAGATGGGTACGAAGTGCTACTTATACACACCTCTGTTTAGAAGTTTCTTAAATTAGGTGGAATGTGTCAAAAATTTCTACAGTTGCTTAAGTCTTGAATGCAGTAATTATCTTGTGTTCATTTATTACTTTTATCAACCATGTAATCCACGCTTAAGAAGCGATTTTGTGTGTTGGATGGCAAAATTAGAAAGAAATGTGATGGGAATAGCATACAATAACATGTTTACGTCAGAAAGAGAAATGCAAATAGTACATAGTCGTTCTGTGTAATATTATCTCAATATCTGCAAAACTGCTATCTTCAGTTTACTTGATGCGTGTAAGTATACAAAAACAAATGAACCTACAAAAACTAAGTGAGGGGCGATTTTATAGTGTTACGCCTCCAGTCGTTAGTTAATTTTCCGTAAATTCGTTCCGACGAAACTTTAGCGACACAAGTCCTTTCTTAAATAAAACTGGTTTATTCTTTCTGAATACAACTTTACCGATACACTTAATTTCAACAGTCGCGCTATAACTCACGAGCTCGACTTCTACAATACTCTCTGACTGCAGTTCAATTACGCACTACCTACACACATTATCCCGTCACGTTGTGGCCATCTTATATATACCAGACAACCCCCAATCTAGTAATCTCCCGAAGGTTTGAGAAAGAAGTGGCGTGATACTAGTCACGTGACCTCGCTGACGCAACAATAGCTTTTGTTATTTCTAAAGAAGTATCCATGCTGTCGAAATAAATCTGAGTAAATTACTGTTATAGTGTGTATGTATATATATATATATATATATATATACA